AAAATCGTTTAATAATTATTTGTCAAGGGTCAACCAACTTTTTAGTCTAGCTTTGATGGAAATAAATTACTGATGTACGCATAATTAAAGTGGTTTTGTGTCGTTATCTTGTTCATTTATACTTCATTAAAAGTTAGTAGTCACAAGGCATATTATTACTATTTTTATTATCGTAGTAATTGTTCGTCGCCATGATGTATCATAAAAACAAAACAATACATCGGTCTCAAGAAGAGGAAATTGAACTATTTACGTAATGGTAAGCAATTACAATAGAACCTCGATAACTCAAACCTCGGTAACTTAAAAACCTCTATAAGTTCAAAAAATAATATGTTCTCTTCCCATCAGAGCCTAAAACCTCTACAACATAGACCCTTGATAACTTAAAACCTCTATAACTTAAAGTATTTTGTGTTACCCTTGGACTTTAAGTTATCGAGATTCTGTCGTACTAGAATAATAACAATATTTGACTAAATCAAGAAATAGTAAGTTTATCATAAAATGATCTAGGATCTGATACGACCGATATGTCGTACTATGGTACAACGGTTTTGATCCAGTATCTAATATTAGGATAAAAAAATGGAAATAATGCAATAAATCTAATACGACAGTCGCGGCATCTGAGTCATCGGCGATACCTGGAGGAAACATTGTTATTGCAATCCAAACCATAAAAAAACAATCAATCCATTTCTGATAAATATATCAATTGTCATATACTTTCTTTTTTTGTCAATAATTTATTACATAGTAACATATTATAAGGAAGTACTGATTATCAGTAAATGATTTGCGATAAGGGTGATGTATTGAATGACATGACTTGCGAAATTGATAAATCGTGTAAGAACTGGTTAAATTAACTACGAGATTCATAGGTTTTTCATCATTCACCACGTAGATGGAATTTACATGTTTCAGAACATTCCAATATTATCATGTTCAAAATTAAGACCCGTAAAAAAAGTTGTGGCATTAATACTTTTAAAACATTCGAAATAACAATTTAACTTAGAATGGTTTCAATTAGTTCATATGATTACCGGTTCCTTTTATAATAAATGTAAATGTAAATAGCACCAGCAAAACTACGTCACACGTAAATTCATTTTATATATATTCGAGAAAATATTGACAAAAATTGTCGATCAAGTTCGATTCATTTGCCTAGTGTTTGTAATTTTTCCGAGGTAAAATACACACAGGCAGAGTCGGTACAGTCAGCTGCATAAATATGTGTACACTTACAATACTCAAAAGGTACGTGCAGCAAATATTTTTTACAGGAACAAATACAGGTTTTTCAAAACTCAGTGAATGTTTACATATTTATCTACGCCGTACATATTTGTCTAATTACATATTTATTACTACCTATACACAATAGATAGTAATGTCAATGTGAAAATAAAATACTGTCTTATTATTGAAAAACTCGACTGAACTATCTTTAAGAAAAATATCAGTAAAAACATCCAATTGGATTTTAAAATTGAGACCAACAGAAAATAAGAAACTTACAAAACCATTACATATGACCATTACAAAAATAAGAAAACATAATCCGAATTATAATTTACTTAATATGCATTTTTAATCAAATCAGCAAAAGAAGTAAACGCGAGTGAATCAAAGGCAGCCTTACATTATGATTGTACCGGACACCGGGGCCATTAGGTCACAAATGTGACAGGAGGTTATCTTATTGCCATATTCCAGATCCAAAATCAAAAAATAATCGTGATTGTACACACACATTCAACATACCATTGATGTATGATACGTGATTCAAATGAATTGCAAGTAAGTATATACTTCGTTCGGAGTGATACTTTAACTAATGAAGAGTAGTTATGATGAAAGCAGTGTTAATTTAGATGGAAACCGCGTTTATATAATAATTACTATAAAAAAATACTTACTAATACAAATTATTATACTAAAAATACTTACAAAAGGAAAGTTTTCGATAAAATGTTTGCTTTGTCGTGCGGATTCTTCTCTTTGAGAACGACTTTTGAATCCATAATTTTAGCTTAAATATCACACAGTAAACACAAAATTAGTTCAACTCGAATAAGAGAAATCACAATGAGTAACCTAAAGCAAATAACAAGTTAACTTTTATCCCAATAATTGGTAACTACCATTCGCTATCACTAATATATTTTTTGTTTTAAATATTTAAAATTAATTATTTTGACAGACTACTGGTCAACTGGCAACTCAGTGCTTTCTGATTGCGAAAATATGCTTTCTGGTGGTATATTATTTCTAGCGTAATTTATACCGCACAAGTTATGTATCCATCGGTTTTTATTTGTTTTTATGACTACTCGAAATATTAAAACCAACAATCATCACGCCGCCACAAACATTTTGTCACTGATTTGATTTAATAACACTTTATTTATAGTCCCGCGCGTATTCGTGCGCAACGCACACTCACTGATCGTCAGCTTCGTACTGTATTGGAAAAAAGCGGTCGCCGACTGCCAGACTGCTGGCGTCAACCTGGTGGGGTGCGATGTTCTGACTATCGCATGCCCATCTTGTCTGCCCGCTAGCTCGCTCCTGTTTCATAACTAAATCACTTTGCAAATAAAGATCTATATGAATTACAAATCTCACGAATTACTTACTGACCTACTTTTTATAGGCGAAGGGGCAAACAAGCAACAGTCCTGTTTTACGACAAAGGTTAAGATTTTTTCTTCTGAGTATTTTCATGAATTTCTTCTGGTAAATCAAGCGTACGTTTACATATTGTTATCTAAGTTCTTTGCTAGCCATGAGAGAAATGTTTTATCAAGCGTTTTAGTGGATGGCCACGGTTACTTATCCTTCACTCGACACTTCTACCACCTCTACACTCATTTTAGTTGCAACATCAATCACGCCGTACATGTCCTATCCCGAATCCATTAATTCATCCTTAATCAGACATAAACTTAGAAATACAACATTGATTTGAAAGTATAGTTCTTTTCAAATATTTTGGCGACCCAAGCTATGCCCAGCTGTACCTTAAATTGCCCTCTATGCAGCGTAGTTGTGAATCGCCATGTTAATTGCAAACTACTATACATAACATTTAATCGTTGTAAATTATTCTGTCATTGACGATACGATAAGCGGTCTTATGTCTTTTTATTGATATTGTTAAAACTGTAAAAGCCTTGTCGCCTATCAGTGCTAATGATTTATTACCTAGATGAGTTAACACACTGTTGTGGCGATGTCCTCTTTCCTCCTTACATAAAATCAATACAATTTATAAAAACCTTTTTTCATAAAATATAAATATAAAACATCCTCTTTCTATGCGTCTCCTGCATCTCGTTTTTAATTGTGGTCACCGCCGTTTGCTAACCTATGATGTAAAAAATAAAGGATAATATTAACATTACTAATATTCACAACAAGGAATAGGGCATTGGGCTAAGTCTATTTGTTTTTTTTAATTCTTCTAATAAAAGTTGCAACGAATAGGTCATAAAAATGCGCGTGAATTCCGCAGTGGGGGTTCGATTTCCTGTCAATTTTTCACCATTACTTTTCTTTTGTTTTGGTAAATAAAATATTTCGAAGAAGAATTTAATTTTTTTACTTCCTTAAGATTTATTTTCTATTTCTTTGGAACATAACATTATTTACCATTTTTTTTCTTCAGATAGCGGTTTTCATTCTTTTTAAATAGAACATAGAAACATAAAAAATCTAGATAGTACCATATGTACATGCTATCCTGACCGTATCTTTCCATATTGATGATCGATGAGTCGGTGATTATCATACTTAATATTAAATAGATGTTTTTAATTTTATAACCAAGTATTACCTATTATTATATCGTGCGACAATATTGCCAATGCCAACACAAAACTTGTGAAATATTGTGTAATTGGTTTGAAATAGCTTTGTCCTTTTAACAAAAAAAATATTATAAAATGCCTTCCGAATTGATAAAGACGGTTTTCGGTCACTAAAATTTTTCGATATTGGTGATTCGTCATACGAAATAAGTAGCAATGCTTGCTTTTTTCAACAGATAATTACACATACTCATAAAGGTGCGTTATGATCTTATTAATTGCTGCTTTAGTTAATGCTAATTGTATGTTTAGTATGCAGTTAACATAAAAATAAACATGTACATGTTTTAATTAACATTTACAAGAATATGTTTGAGTGTTTTTTGTTATTCGAATGATTGTACATTTCTTTTTTTATTTAAAAATATTTTAGTTGTTTGATTCTAAATCAAATAATTTAACATAGATGTTACATTTTTAAGGTTAAGTAACTTAAGATAAAATTAAATGTAGTTAATACTTAAGAAACGTATCGTAACTAAATCGTTACCGCAAAATACAGGAGATCTCTAGTATTTAAAAATGATTAGAAAGAGCCTTGGCATTAACAACATATGTAATTCTAATAAACCGATCTTATTCCAATAATGTTGCAAACGAGATACGACATCTATTTGTTCGTGTATTAGACAGAAGATTAGAGATGAGATTTCTCAGTAGCACCTCGAAAAAACACTTTCCAGCATTTTCCATTGAAATAACCGACACTTTGGAAATAGGTCTATATCTAAACTAGTGATTTATAGATTATAATCAACCTATCAGTTTGATTGATGAATTCAAGGCATATGCAAACCTGTATCATATTAAATCATGATGATTTGTTATTTTTAAAACCAAGTATCGTCGTGCCTCTAAACTACACGATAGTATATGACCAGTTTGTTTTTAAATTTGACGGCGATAACTCGTAGTTCAGAGATTAAGCACCTCAAAGCAAACTGATGGGTCAAGGTCAAGACCAATAGAGGGCCTTTTAGTGTATCTGAGAAATTATGTGATTCCCAGTAGTTTAATAAAGGAGAAATAATAATTGCATTTACAGTATATATCATAGTTTTTAATAATTCCTATGAAAAGGCAAATATAAATGTTTAAATATATTTTAATGCTATGATAATTGCAGCTTAGAAAAAGATAAAAAAATATTCAGGCATCAACAGGATTGTGGAATGAGAAGTGCTCTTTTAAATTAATAAATAATATACACATAAACTAAAGATCCAGTATTATAAGGCTCTTTGCACTTTTCTAACATGTTGGCTCTTTGATTCTTTTAAAGCTTGTTCTAATTTATTTGTAAGATGTATTAAATTAGGTAAATCACATTGCAGCAAGAAATGGTTAATCAATCTTTGACATTGGCTGGCAGTTTTAGCATTCTGTATTGATGAATTTATTTGTACTGAAGTTAGACTATTCTTTTTATCATCTTTGTATTTATAATCTACATTTTGACCAAAGTTCTTGGGAATTGTGACAACTAAATTTAAGGTAATCATTGGTTTGATCATATGATTACATCTTCTAGAAGCCATCTGAAACAAAGAAATATCTGTGCCAATTATCTTATGTAATTAAATACTAAATTTGTATTATTGTATTTCATTTTACCTGAACCTCAAATCTCCATGTCAAGTCTTGATAACTTGGGTCTTTCTGTTGAAGTATATTTAATGCACTAGATAATTCATCTTTCTTAGTAATATATAACTTTAGCAAAACCTGCTGGTGTTCATTTGAAAATCCTGCTAATGCTAGTGATGACTTAAAATCTGTATCTGATAACTAAAATAACAAAAAAGATTTAGTGTACACACTTAGAACATGACAAAAATAAAAATATATGAATTAAAACTATCATTTACTAAACAAAATTATAAACAAATTTTCTCGGTATAATATTAATATAGGTCAATGAGCATCTAGGAGTTCATCATCATCACCTCCTCTACCTTGTCCTACTCCCATAGGGTTGGCACACCCCGTTTTTGTGCTCCACACAACTCTATCATACGTCATCACAGTATCACCCCCTTTTTGATCATGTCACCTTTCACACAATCCATCCATTTCTAGGTCTACCTCTAATGGTGTAACACCTCCATATTCATAACTAACATCCCTCTTCATTCATATTTACAACATTAACAATTTATTTTCATTGACTAAAGCTATGTTATATACATACTTACATTATGCTTACATCCTTCTAATATTAAATAGGCCAGAGCTTGAATTAAATTTTGTATATAAGTTAGTGGCAAACCCAATTTCTCTGTAAATAAAAAACATTTCATAATAATAGTAAATTTTTACAAATATCTTTGATTCTTGATAGCAATTCTCATTATTAAAATAACTATATAAAATTTTCTTTATATAATGTTTTTAAAAAGATTTTCATTTTCTGTTAGTCCAAAAATGATAACACCAACTAACAATTTACATTTTTCTGTGATCTTTCTCAATAATTGCACTTAATAATACAATGTGGACATTATGGACTATGAATAGTTTGACTGTAACATATATAATTATTATTAAATTACTCACCAGCGGCAACAGTACATTTTTCACTATTAACTCCATTATTTAAGTAATCTATAGTAAGTTTACAGAAGTCAACCAGAACTGAAAGAAATATTGCAGCATCAGTCATGAGAAAACTTTAATCACAAACGAAAACATACGATAAATTCTCTATAGCATTAACTTCCATAACAATACATAATAACATAAGTAATTAGTAAAAATCTATCAAGAATTAACCTTGCAAAGATTGCTTATGCAATATATCGAGATGTTCCTTTTGCAACTCACTAAGAAATATAATCATTTTTCATATTATATCTGTGAAATTATTAGAAAAGATTTATATCTCTATACTTTTACTTTGTATTGAAGTTGAATATCTCAACATCTCAACATTTCTACTTGACAGTTTGTTACTGTCAGTGTCAATGACCAACTGTCATCCAGCTTAAAGATTAAAAAAGTGTTACCTCCTACAACAGAAATAATTGTTCCAGTCACACGGAATTTGTCAGAAAAACTGTAAACAAGCTTGAAAAAGCTAATTTATCGTTTTACCTGCAAATATTTAATAAGCCTCATAATATAGAAGGCTTAATAAGTGTACAAACGTCTCAGTTATGTTAAGTTAACATTCTGAAAATCTCTTGTCATTCGTAAACAATCTTAAAAAGCTTGCAACATTTTAAGCCAACATTGCAGGGTAGGAAATGTCATTCAACTATTCCTTTTGACATCGTTCATAAATCTTTAATTTATAATTTTGATATCAGAAACAGTTTTTTTTAGTATAACGTAGATTGTTATGATTGTGGAAACAGAATCTCCATCATGGCTCTGAAGAAAGTTAAAGGAAATTTTGAAAGAATGTTTGACAAAAATTTGACTGATTTAGTACGCGGAATCAGAAATAACAAAGATAATGAGGTATTACTTGTGTTTGTGCTTAATTAGATTAAAATACTGGAATAAATTGAAGAAAGTACTAATTCTATCTCTCAAAATAACCCATTAAATGTTACAGGCAAAATATATAGCTCAGTGTATGGAAGAAATAAAAGTAGAACTAAGACAAGATAATATCAGTGTGAAAGCTAATGCCGTCGCTAAACTGACATACGTAAGAAAATATTAAACAATACTTTATTTTGATTTGATACTCAACCAAATAGTGAAATTTATTTCTATATAAACTTTAATTATTTTTAGACATGTTTCATGATCTTAGAAAGTATTTATATTTGCTATTATTTTCAGCTTCAAATGCTAGGCTATGATATCTCATGGGCAATTTTCAATATAATTGAAGTTATGAGTTCGAATAAATTTACTTTTAAACGGATAGGGTATTTAGCAGCAAGTCAATCATTCCATGCAGACTCCGAATTACTTATGCTCACAACAAATATGATCAGAAAGGATTTAAATGCTCAAAACCAGTATGAAGCAGGTCTAGCACTTAGTGGTCTAAGTTGTTTTATTTCACATGACCTGGCAAGGGATTTGGCTAATGATATAATGACATTGGTAAGTAAATAATAATACTGTTATCACTACTGTATTACATTACAGAGTACATTATACTTAAATAAAGGACATTTGTAATTCAAATGTATGTTATCTGTCCATTTAAGAGATGTTTTATTTTATTATTGTGCCTCATTTGTACATATATTTTGTAATCTATTTATTGATATCTATTTATTGATTTAAATTCATCCATAATTTAAAAAAAATGTTAATTTTAAAGTTAAAAATAGCATACAATTCTTCTCTACATTAACTTTAGCAGTGTCAAAGGTCAAGTTCATCCTTTTATTTTTGCTCCTATTCTTTAACTTGTTTATGACTTTTCTAGATGAGTTCAACAAAACCTTACTTGAGAATGAAAGCTGTGCTCATGATGTATAAAGTATTTTTAAGGTATCCGGAGGCTCTGAGGCCTGCATTTCCTAAATTAAAAGAAAAATTAGAGGATCCTGATCCTGGTGAGTTTTATGCTTGACTGAGACCTTACTCTGATTAAATACAAGTACAAAATATTGCTATCCCTTTTTTCTCTTTGAATAAACAGAGTACAATTTGGCATAGGTGTAAAGCAAAGTCTGGAAGAATTCATAGGGTACTTACTTTTTTTTTATATTGTCACAGGCGAAAGCTAGGTAGCAAATGAATTCTTATTTTGTATAAAGTTACACATAACTTGGCTAGGCTCCGAACCCCTGATGAGAATATATAGATAGCTAACGATGAATGTCTCTTTGGAAATAGTAAGTGAACTTCTCGCAACAATAACTTCACAGTTTTAATTTGTTTTTTCCAGGTGTCCAATCTGCAGCGGTAAATGTTGTTTGTGAATTAGCAAGAAAAAACCCGAAAAATTATTTATCTCTTGCACCAGTGTTTTTCAAACTAATGACAACTTCAACAAATAATTGGATGCTGATCAAGATTATTAAACTGGTATTTATTGATATTTATTCTAGTATATTATATTAAAGTCTATTTGTTAAAACTTACACAATTATGTTCAACTTAACACAATATGAGACTGATTTTCGCTGTGTGAAACAGTATTGTTTGTCTTTTTTTTTCAAACAGAATAAGAGAGATGGAAGTTTTGTTCCAGTGTTTTGAAAGTGGAAGCCAGTAATGTTTATTTGTGTGTTCCTCTTTTTTTTAATTATAATGATTAATTCTCCGCAGTTTGGTTTAATGACACAATATGAACCAGACATTGGAAGAAAAATAACACAAAGCCTCATTGATCTAATTTGCAGGTACAAACCACTTGTTACAACTTTACAAGTTGACAAGTTGCTAGATATGATCACCATTTGTCACCAATAAGAACTTCAAAGATTCATAACACAAAATTATCACTCACAAACTGGTTTAATTAAAATTTGCAAGTCAAATGCTTTTGATGATATGATAATTTAAAATAAATAATTATTTATTTTATCTTTAAATTCAAGGATTTCACAGTTAAAGTTGTAAAATCCATATGTAGGTTTGAACAACATTATTTTTATATCGGATTTTCTAAACTGATTTGCATTTGCTATAAAAGTTATTGCTATCGAATATTTCTGTATATCATCAAGGTTATATTCACATTTGCAAATTTTTAATGATTTAGACAATATTGGATTACCAAGAATATACACGAAAAATTGGCATGTCTCACGTTTTTATATATTTTGCTGCGGACAAATAAAAAGTCACACAATTTCAGTATAACACGAAATTATATGGGATAACAGAGCCAGTTGGTCATATCATGCCTCAATACAAGACATGCATACACAAGCTAGTTTAGTGTCATTGTGTTTGTTCCAGTTTGGTGCCTTAACCCCATTAGAGCCTCGACTTGGCAAGAAACTGATAGAACCATTAACTAATTTAATACATAGGTGAGTTGTGTTTGGCAATATAAACTAAAATAGTTTGGTCTCTATGGGGTAAAGGGAGTGTAGTGCACACACTTGCTACAGTTCAAAGTTTCTGTTAACGCAATCGTGACTTCATATTTCCGAAACACAAACATAAAAATAATTTATTCAAAGGAATTTTAAAATGAATACATTTTTTCATCCAAAACATAAACTTTTTATTTATTTGTTCTCTGAATACTGATACCACAATGTTTTATGTTAATCATTTGGCAATGTGAAGTCTTGTTTAAGCCATGTTTCAAGAAGTTGCTTTCTTTGCTTCTTCATGATTATTTTATGAAGAAATTATAAGATGGATAGCTGGCAACAACAATCACCTCAGCTACTTTCGTTTCACTATTATAATATTATATTTTCACAGATTATATTTATTTAATACATAAAGCATTATATTTTAATATTCATATTGTTTGATTTTCACCTCATTTCACATAACAATATATTCTAGTTAAGGGTCTGTATAATACAATAAAATAAAGTAATCTCCACTCTTCTTATCAACTTATCAATATATTTACCCCAAGTTCAATTTTAAATAAAATGAATATGCTTATGATATATATTAACTAGTTTAACAGCAAAATTCATGTATAGTTGGTCTGGTGTCGGTACAAACTCATTCATATTCCCCACGAATTTTGAAATCGGTCCAGTAGTTTTGAATTATTTCAATACATACAATACATATCTGTCCTCTTAATATTACAATATAGATTATTTATTTGTGTGTGTGTCAGTACATCAGCGATGTCCCTGCTGTACGAGTGCATCAATACGGTGATAGCGGTGCTGATCAGCATCAGCAGCGGCATGCCGGGCCACGCCGCCTCCGTGCAGCTCTGCGTGCAGAAGCTCAGAGTGCTCATAGAGGATAGCGACCAGAATTGTATGTCGACACTATCTTATCTTACCTTTACTAACATAAATGCTAAAGTTTACACGGATGGATGTTAGAAGGTATCTCCAGAATAGTTGAATGGATATTGATGTAATTTGGTATGGATCTAGAATATTCTGGAAGAACACATACTAATTATTTTTTTTTATTTCCCCATAAACGGAGTAGCAGGCTAGTCTTTTGATGTTTGATTTTTATTAAAATAGGTGCAAGTAAAAGTTGCTATGTGGATTCATCTAATCTATGATATACTGAAATTTTAAATGAAATAAGTGATTAAGTTTTCGTTTTTTGTTTCAGTGAAATATCTAGGATTGCTGGCCATGTCTAGAATACTCAAGTCGCACCCCAAGTCGGTGCAGACTCACAAGGACTTAGTGTTAACGTGTTTAGATGATAAGGATGAGTCAATTAGGTTGAGAGCTTTAGGCCTTCTATATGGTATGGTAAGTTGGATTTGCTTTAATTATTAAAAAAGACATATCGCATTCATAAAGAAATTTAACTCAAATTTTATGTTTTTCGAGTATTTATCCATCAAATAAATGGCATTATTTTTGCGAGAAGACAATAGAATGTAAATAAAAGAGATAGGACAACGTCTTTCTCTCTCATCTCAAATCTCCTGTGTAAACATACCAAACTTCAAACGCGATTTCCCAAAAAACATACATTTTTAATTAATTCTATTTATGAATAAAAATGCGATATAATCTCCCAACGTTGATTTAGAAACAGTGTTAATAGTAGACGATATATCTTGGCTGGTTTGGTTGATAAATAAAAAGTAGGCTTGCAGATTGATGATATATTAAAATATAGTTAAGTTACAAGGTCAAATGATTAAGTATGGATTGCCGTGGCTCGGAGCGCAACGGACGACGGCTGAAAAGGGCCCTCCGCGTCTTTCCCGTCGGCGTTGCCGTAGGCAAAAAACATGATCTCGAATATATAGTAAAGGTGTTTCTACATATTTGCAGGTATCCAAGAAGAATTTAATGGAGATAGTGAAGAAGCTGATGGTGCACATGGAGGGCGCGGAGGGCACGCTGTACCGCGACGAGCTGCTGACGCGCATGATCGAGATCTGCTCCCAGAACAACTACCAGCACGTCGTGGACTTCGAGTGGTACGTCACCGTGCTCTCCGACCTCGGCGAGATGGAGACCTCTGCCAAGCACGGTAACTAACACAACATCACTTATGTCCAGTTTCCCACATATGCTTAACCATTCCTTAGGTTTTGCTTCGATAAGTTCTCGAAATTCGTTTCCCAATTACGTAACTTGAGTTTGTCTGTAAGCTACAGTAACTTAAGTAATATATGTAAACAAGAGTAAAATGCTTACTGATCCCTTAAAGGCACCCAAAGCATCTACGGTTCTCTCAGTGTTGCAGATTTCCATGGGCTTTATATTTTTGTATGTATTGTAATAACTCAAAAACTAGTAGGCTAATTACAAAAATTCTTTCACCATTAAAAAGCTACATTGTCAGTGAGTAACATAGGCTTTGTTATTTAAATTCACGCTGGCGAGGTCGCGAGCAACAGCTAGTCAATATTAGGCCCTCAGCTTGTTTTCATTATTTTCTATCAAAAAATAGACGATACATAGGATTCTTAGGTGTGTGTTGTGTGCAGGCTGCATCCTGGCGCAGCAGTTGGCGGAGGTGGGCGCGCGCGTGGCGGGCGTGCGCGCGTTCGCGGCGCGCGAGTGCGCGGCGCTGTGTGCGCGCGCCGCCGCCGCGCCGCCCGGCCCCGCCTCGCGCGAGCTGCTCTACGCCGCCGCCTACGTGCTCGCCGAGTACTGCACGTATGTCTCATACTTTGTACTGTAACAAAAAAAACACTACTAGAATGTTTCCATTAACCATTCCAATTAAGCTCTAGGCTTCTGCTAGGATATGATTCAAAATAGTCGATTTGGGACTGGAAACCTCGGCTGTAAGATCGGTAATCTGTACCCCAAGATATTAGGCTATTGGCTTTACACTCAGAGATTGAAAAAAAAATATACAGTATGCATAGTTGACACTTCACTTGAAACATTTTTCACATAATTTCACTGCGCTACCTGGTGCCCGATAGTTAAAATAACAAACAAATAATTCAACACTGAAAAGCATCTCTGTGTCTTTGACATTGAGATATTACCGTACAAAGAAGTTACCGGTGATAAAAAATGTTGTTCCCTATATGTTTCTCAAATCTCTTTGTTTATACTGCACTTTAGGTACTTACATGGTTTATTAAGTCTAGTAATGTAATATTGTATTGCACAGAGAAGAGAGCGTGATGCGCGACTCCATATCCCCGCTGATGGGGTGCGCGGGCGTGGGCGGGGCGCAGATGCGCGCGCGCGCAGTCTGCGTGCACGCCGCGCTCAAGCTGTGCGCGCGTCTGCTGCTCGTCTACGAGCAGCGCAACGACCTCGCCGCCGCGCAATCGGTCAGATAATACCCCTACATGCTGCTTTTATAAGAAAAAATGATCTTACTAATATTAATGCGAAAGTTTAGATGAATGTTTGTTAGAGTTTGTAGCCTAAATGACTGAACGGTTCCTGACGAAATTTGGCTTAGATGTAGAACGAAGTCTGAGAAAACACAGGTTACTTTTTAAATTCCAAGTGGACGGAGTCGCGGGAAAAAGCTAGTATTTTATAAATAATCGCACAACATAGTCAAGAAACAGAAAATTACATACCTCTTGCTTTTGGAGAAAAAATAAAATTATAAGTAAATATTTTTATCGCAGGTGGTACTCGAGACCCTGTCCGGTCTGAAGCCGCTGCTGTGCAGCGAGGACATGGAGGTGCAGGAGCGCGCGCACAACGCCGCCGCCGTGCTGGCGCTGCTGCTGGCGCGCCTCCACCCAAACCACCCAGACCTCCACCTCCACCTCCACCTCCAGCCCGCTCCGCCCGCGCCTCCCGCCGCCGACACCGCGCAACACGTCGCCACGCTAGTCGAACATGAACAGAGGTACATTGACTCATTCCCATTGTCACAACGGACATAATAATATTTATTTACTAGCTTTCGCTCGCGACTCCGTCCTCGTGGAATTTAGACAAAAAACAAAAGTGAATAGCCTGTGTGTTCTTCCAGACTATCCTTTACGTCTATGCCAACTTTCATCGAGATCTATTCAGCCGTCTAAGGTACAAACTCTAAAAAACATTCATCCATCATCCATCTAAACTTTCGCATTTGTAACAGTAAGATTTGTTCATATACGTTACAATATTGTTTTTTACCATAACTGGGCCTTAAATTTAAAAGTTTTGAGAAGCTTTTGTACATTTTTAGTAATCAATAGGAAAGATTTTTAATTTTTATATGTAATGAATAAAGTTTAAAATAACTGGACATTTGCAAAAAATATTTTGCCATTGGAAAACTACATAATCTGATTAATTAGGCTGTGGGCCGAAGCTTTGTAAAATTACCCTAGTTTACTATATTTAATACGTAATTTAGTACAGTTTAATTTACAGATGTTTATTAATGTTGTTACAGTAACGGTATAGAGCCGGAACAGCTTACAAATGGAGAAGAGCCCTCCCCCGGCTTCAGCGGAGGGATGATAGAGGAACTTGCCAGCCTTTTTGAAGGCGAACTCAAACCTGTCGCCCCCAAGGCGCAGAAGAAAGTGCCCATGCCCGCTGAGTGAGTGCTTTGTAATAATTTAATGTGTCTTTTTGCTTCTATTATTTTTGTGTTTGTTCCATAAAAAAGCTTTAATAATCAAATAGTAAGAAAAGACTCCAAATGTTTTTTTTCTTCAAATACGATGACTGTTTCCTCTTTATATTTAAGATCTCTTCTTACTTCTTATCTTCTTTTTATTTATATAAATGAGAATGTATGAATGGATGTTTGTTATGGTAACAAACATCTAAACGGCTTAAAGGATAGCACTGTTTGGCATGTATGTAGAATATTGTCGGGAACAACACATAGGTTAATATTTTTCTGTTAATTCCGACCAGAAGGAACCGCGGGCGACTGTTATTGCCATAAATTATTCCCTTTCCTTGTATAGGTTGTTTTTTTGTTCAACATTTTCCTTACTAAGTAAATCTGCATAGTTTTGGTATGTAAATGTGTGTTGTAAGACAGTAATGTTGACATTCCAGTCTGCAGTTGGAGAAGTGGTTGTCCCGCGATCGCTGGTCCTCGGAGAGCTCCAGCTCGGAAGAGGAGTGCGAGAGCGGGGCGGGGGCGGGCGCGGGAGGCGCGATGTTCACTGCGCCCGCACAAGAACCGCGCCCTCTCTCACATCTCACGCCGGAGGAACTGCATATGGTATTGTGAATTTATTTGTTTCCCCAGTATTTGGAGTATGTCAGTAACATTAATTTTTGTATGCAACGAATTCCTCAAAAAAAATTATAACTAATCTATGATTTCATAGTGAGGGCACATGTCAACCTGAAATATGATCCAATCGGGTTTTTACTTGTTTGTGTATGAAATCGTATCTACGGGCCGTTCACACAGAGTGGGCGAATATTAGATATTTTTATCGAAAAAAAAATTGCTTTGTGCGGTAAAAATAGTTAAATTTTACTTTGAGTAAGGATAAACATATGTCAAGTAAAGTACAACCCTATGTCAATATTAAAAAGTTAAATATAATTTGTGATATAAATACAACAAATACAGTTGTAATGTGTGTGCAGCTGCGCGAGGCGCGGCGCCAGGAGCAGGCCAACAACCCACACTACCTGAAGGACGACTCGCCGCGCTCCTATCAAGATGACTCCGCGCTGCCCGCCGCCGCGCTGCCCGCCGTGCCCGTCGCAGAGCTCGCGCTGGAGGTGCCGCTGCACATACACTGTGAGCACACCGCCTCTACTTTCTCCCTCTCTCTCTTCCCCCTATCTCTATTCCTCCTCTCTTTCTTTCTCCCTCTCTCTCTCTTTCTCTCTCACCTGGCTCTTTACTATTATTTACTAACCTCTGCGAGACTGTCCGAGCTGCATTAAAATGTCTATTCTATCGGATTGTATTCTACGTCTATGCCAAATTTCAGCAAAATCTTTTTAGAGACGTAGTAAGAAATATCTATCATGATATTCATATGGCCATGATATTAGTATGATGCAAACAGAGGCTCGTCATTCCATATTTATTGACCACACATCTCATTTTCTTAGATTTTTTGTCAAAATTCTGTCATATCAATTTAAAACTTGCAAAGCTATTCTATTTTCTATTTATCATTAATATAGAAGGAATATTAATTATATTTTTGTTTTCCAGCTAAGAGATCTGATAAGTACTTAAAGGAAAGCACCAAAAAAACAAAGAAAGAGAAAAGGCCGACGAAAAAGAGGAAAACTAAGCAAGCAGACACACATTCCACAGATTCCGACAGCGACGGTAATTTATTTTTGCTACTTACACTAATAAATCGCTTTCCATATCGTCTCTATGCGAAAATAACTTATAAGACAACATGTATATCGATTATTTACACCATTGTTGTTGAATAAATTGTATTTTATTTCCATACATTAAACTAGGAATACGAAATTTTTATTTTTAATTTCTAGTTTAAAAAATTTAGAATTAATTCAAGTGTTTTTGCGTACCCATTTTCGTACCCATCATATTTTAATTATTAGTTTACTAGCTTTCGCCCGCGACTGCCTACGCGTGGAATAACAAAAAAAAAAACAAAAGTAATTAGCTTACGAGTTCTTCCAGAACATTCTATATCGATATCCGTTTAGCAGATTCGGCTACAAACTAACAAACATCCATCCATCCATCCATCTAAACTTTCGCATTTATAATATTAGTATGATTTTAATACAAAATGTGTTATTACAGAGGATGTGGAGCGCACGGCGCGGCCCGCGGTGGCGGAGGGCGGGGAGCTGCCCGAGGGCGCCGCGCCCAGCGACGACGAGCCCGCGCGCGACGACCCGCACCGCGCGCTAGACCTCGACCTCGACCTGTAACTACACATACTGTCCCACTTCGCACACCTCCCCCACTCTAACACTCCTCAATATAACACCCCCCCTCCCACACACTACCACCTCCCCTTGCTTTAACACCATTGCTGAGACTGCCCCCACGATATTGCTGAGACCACACCCACGATATTGCTGAGACTGCCCCCACGATGTAATACTTGATTACATGTTAATAAAGTTACGTGGGGGCACAAAAAGTCCATAGAGAGGATTGTTTAGTTGGTCGCGGCGACGCTAGTTTTATATAAATTGTATGAAAATATGTAAAATGCATTTTATTAATCTTCTTTTATTGTCACAGGCCATTACGCGAAGAAGAATTACTCGTAACTAGAATACAGCAGTATCCATCACCGGACGGCGTTCACCTCGACAAGAAGAGAACTTCAAAGAAAAATAAAACAAGCACTAAAAACTCATCTGATAAAGTCTCCAATAAGAAGAAGGAAAAGAAAACGAAGCGTAATAAAGACTTAGATTTAATGTTACCTGAAGTTGATAAGAATGTTCCAGAAGTAACGTTGATAGAGGAGTTGGATCGCGGCGACACACACACCAGTAAGACTGACAAACACAAGAAAACTAAGAAACACACAGACAAGGAGAGAAAATCTAAGAAAACTAAATCTTCGAAAAAAGGTATCATTTATTAAATTTACACTCACAGCCAGTAACCAAAACCCATACACATTATAATTTAATAAAAGTGTCAGTATGTGTATAGAAAAAATAAACATTTTTCTTATACGTGATGTATTTGGATAGCTGAGTAAGAAATAACAGATGTTTTGCATTTCTGTCTGATCTTAAGCAAGTCTGCGTTTGTTCCGGGTACTTTTCGACAACTTTGCACGCGGGAATATTCTCTTTCTTTTTTTAAATCAATATTTACAATTTCCAGTAAAAGTAAGGATTTATAATAAAATATACTTATGTAATATATGTATTTAACAGAGCAAGATGAGAGCAAGCGTGGCTACGAGGAGGCGGTGGGCATCTCTACGCCCAGCAAGGAAGCCGCGTAGCGCAGCCCTCCCACACTTTCACACGAGGGCAGTCCAGTGACACAAAGCAGTGCAGTACTACTAGTATTGGAATTTAACAATCAACCATAGTACTACTACACTACACTACTGCAAATCTCGTGTGTGTTAACGGTCGAAACACATGTGTAAAACAATATTGTGAGATAGCAATATTGTTGTTATACAGGTTTCACAACAGTGGAAACTCGCCGTTTATTTGAACAAGTTATGTTTCGTTATAGTATCATATATAGACATTGCTTTCATTCCTCTCTCTAAGTGAAAACGTGTCCATTTAAATGTTACATTTAAATATTTCTCTATCAGTGTAGAGTAAATTATATTATGTATAATCATGTACAGTTTTATTAAGATTGAGATTTATGTAATAAATAACCTTCATTTACTCTTTTATATCGTTCAAACGATCTCTTTTATATCAACGAAATCGCTCCCTCTAAATTAAATAAAATTAATAAAATTGAGAATCAGTAATGAAAAGATGAATAATGAAGAAAAAGAAACAGTTACTAAATGTATAATTTATTGCAAATGATAAAATTTAAGCCAATATAATATCAAAACTTAAGTTTTTTGTAGACAGTATTGAAAATTTCTCAAAATTAGGCGCAAGGTCCTGACCGACGGCCACCTCCCTGGCTGCTGCTGCTCCTTGCACCTTTCTTGTAGGTCAGATGGACCTTGAAACAATCATTATTTTAATACTGAAAATAATACCATCCTACAAACTTAACACATTCAGGGCCACTACCATATGAATAGTGTACTTGCAGATTTACTTGGCACTCAATGTATTAACCTGAGGTTAATATCAAAGATGTACTGAAATTACATCTCAGTAATCGATGACTCCTGAATATCAATTGTGTGTCAACTATCTGCATTTATTTTCTTAAAAAAAATCTAAGAAAAAATTACATCAATCTTTATTTACCATACAGTGACAGAAAAAAAATCATCATGGAATTATTCAACGTACAAAATTTAAAACACCCAACAGTCTAAGTAAAATAATATGAGAGCTTTAATTTTTTTTTTATTATGATAATTTCTAATTTTTCACGTATAATTCGACGATTTAATTCCCTTCACCTTCGCCTTACACGCGCGCTCGTACACTTAGAGCAGTCAATAAATCCATTAATAGCAACCTTCAAATTAATGACCGTACTGGAACAAACCAATATGCATTGTGTCGATACGCTTTATTCATCAATGATTATTTGTTCAGAATTCTTAGAATTTCTAATATGCTTTACAGGAAATCAAATGCATATTTTAGTTAGATCTAAAATCAGTTGTCAAGATTTTAAAAACCACTCACTTTTGTCATTTACCTATCACTTTAGATAACACAATTTTCGGTAAACGAATATCAATTTTGATCATTCGTGCATAAGATATTTTGGTTCTATTTTCAGTGCATTTAAAACATAATGGAATAGGCACGTTTTTCGTATTTATACTTTAAGTGAAGATATACCTATACTATAATTTGTTGTCATTCATGACGTTGGTTTTGTTATCATGTGACATATTTTATCAGAAGTCACTGCGATGAAACAAGTACATACTTCCTTATTCTCTGGACAACAACCTTTGGACCCGAGAGATAACAGATCTTAATATTGTTACCACTCTAATGATTACCAAGTTACTGTAATCAAAAAGTATAATCGAATTCAATATAAATAAATAACACATTTCATTGGTTGAGAAGTATTTTTTAATGTCTGGTTATAAAAGTAAAATTGTTTTTGATTTCTTTATTTTACATTTCTATTGAATTCAACTATATAAATCTGTAACTTGTTACGTAATACTGACATGAATCAGGGTCGATGAATTAAAAAGGTTATTTACATCAATAAAAACTACAGATTGGATGTAATGTTATGAATTTATTACTTGTAACAACAATAATACGTTACTAAATAAATCACGGTACGTACATATTGTACTTTGTTTCCAATAAACTGAACATCAATACTACAACAAATTGTATCTACAAACAATGTACATAAATACAATTATTAAAAACAATTATACTGTGGGTATTAGAGTATTGCAAATATATTTTAATATCGATATAAATTACAACTGACAGGATTAACGTCTTTTAACATTTAATACTATGCAAAATAAATACAAGTGGCACTAGCATTCTACAACTTTACTTATTTGTAAACATACAAAATGTTACAAAACTTGCACAAACCGTGGATCGGATCGTAAATGGCGTAGAATGTAGTACAGTAATATATTATTATACTTCAAATTAACTATTAAAAAAATATCTACTTATTCCTAGCGTTGACTCAATAAATAAGATAGAAATTATACTGAAATATGATGATTTTCATTTGGCATATCGTTTTAGTTGTATGTTGTAAACTAAACAAAAATAAAATTTCAATCAACACAGCAAAATCTACCAAAGACAATGAAATAATTTAATAATGGCAACACTAAAAATGTCTCAAATACCCTGAACCAATGATCAACGTGTATGTGTTTACATTTCTACTATTAAATAAATAATACAATTCACAATGTATCCTTAAGTTTACAATTGCAATAATACAATAAATAATTCGCTTGCGAATCTATACAAAGTAAGCAAAAATGAATTACACGATTAGTATTCGAAACAATCTAAGTGAGATTAAATAGGATGAAAATACCTAATACTGTCGTCCGAGGCAAATGATAGTGTTTAACATTGTTAGTGAGAGGTAACCTTTAACGATACACGCGCAAATAGCTTATCAAGCAACGAACTTATGTCAAATACATTTTTAATAGTCACAACACTAACAAATTGCTTGATACCAAAAGCTTTAGACAATTAACTGACAAAACTAGATAATTAAGCTTTATGCGCCCAATAATGTCCTACGATAAAATATTTAAAAAGCACACAAGGTATAGAACATGTCACATATCTCACCTGCTCTTAATCACGGTCTCATGACTGAGCGGGTAAGATATTTTAAAAGACTTTGGTTACTATACATTTGCCCGGGTACGTTGTAGTCTACTGGTCGATCATGTATCGCGGTATGTCGAACTTCACCTCGACGCCGGCCTTCTTGGCGAGCGCCACGATCTCAGAGAGCTGCACCACGAGCTGCGCCGCCTCGTCCAGGTCGTCGCGCGGCACGATGCGCAGCCCCGACTCCGCTATCAGCTTGCGGGCCTCGTTCACCTTCGTACCCTGTATCACAATTTATTTATTTATACAAAACAATATTACATTTCAGGTTTTTTTATTTACTTTAGGTTAGGTAGGTTGGTTCCCTGTATTAAAGGAGCCAATTATGACTATTTATTCCAAACTCCATGCGGAATTGAAAACTTAATAACTTATGTGTTCTTCCAGACTGTTCTACATCTATGCCTTTTATAGAGATCCTTTGAGTCGTTCTGGGGTTATCTTCTAACATACATCCATACATCCATCTAAACCATATTCATGAAATTAATAAGAAGTGTGATTACAATATTACAGGCATAAAATTGTATGATCATAATTTGTCTCAGCAAAGCCCCCATAGTGATTCAGGTGGCGTTTCCGAAACATACTTTTCTCGAAGAAACTAGCTATTTTGATATCTTCCTACCTCTTGTGGTATTAACTTGTATTATATTTTTTGTATTAAAAGTAAACAAGGAAACGAATTATCTGTTATGAGGTTATCAGCTTTGAACCAAGAATAAATTTACAGCAAGCTTGTAATTAATATTTTTATCATCATCCTCCTCCTTATCCTACTCCTGCAGGGTCGACGCAACAGGTTTTTGTCCGCCTCATAACTGCATCATACATCATGTCAGTCATCACTCCCTTTTTGATCATGTCACCTTTCACGCAATCCATCCATCTCTTTGTAGGTCCACCTCTTCTGGTGTACCTCCACACTCAAAACTAACGTTCTTGTTACATGCGATTCATCCCTCTAACATGCCCATACCTTGCTAAGTTGTAATTAATATTTTTATTTACTCAAGATAACATAGTGTTACCTGCAGACGCACGATGACCGGTATCTGTATGTTGAGGTTCTTGGCGGCGGTGACGATGCCCTCCGCGATCACGTCGCAGCGCATGATGCCGCCGAAGATGTTTACCAGGATGGCAGACACCTTCGGGTCGGACAGGATGATCTTGAACGCCTCCTGCAACAAACAATAAATATCATTAACAATATAATAACAAGAAGCTTCGACCAACATCTCAAGAGGCTCTCGCTAGACAGTTGGATTAAGGGACAGAGCCAAAAGGCAGTTATTTTAGAGACCGCACTCATTGTGAGGTGGTTCCTGTCTCTGCCCTGACCACTGGTTGCTAAGGTCATCGGATTCTGCAGCCGGAGGTGCACTTTTTTTGTATATGTCTTTTTTTTCTATGTTTTAAGGTGCCTCTCCGACTAGCGAAGGTTGGTGGTCAGTTCTCCTAATTTAAAGTCTTTTTTTTAAATCATGTAAAATATACTATATAGTAAATGGGAAAATATAGATATAAGTAAAGAATAACAAGATTTCGATTTTGTTTAAATATTCATGCAAATAATTATCATACTAATATTGTAAACACACAAGTTTCTATGAAATCTTAAAGGATCTTGATAAAATGTGAAGCATAATGTGGAAGAAATGTTAGTGCAAAATGTAACTCACGGAGACAGCCTGTGCGGTGGCGCCGCCGCCCACGTCGAGGAAGTTGGCGGGGTCTCCGCCGTACAGCTTGATGATGTCCATGGTGGCCATGGCCAGCCCCGCTCCGTTCACCATGCACCCAATGTTACCTGATATTTGTAAAACCATTTACCATAACCAAATATATAGCTTATCTTACTATTATTCATATAAAACTTAAGATGGATTTTAGAAGATCTCTCTCTCAAAAAAAGTTTTTCACGGGCTACTTTTTAGCAGATTTTCCAAACGAAGACTTTTTTTTTTAATTCCACGCGAACCGTGTCGCATTCGACAGCTAGTAAACTGTAAAGCACATAATACTTGTCAAATGTACATTCTTACTGGGTTTTATTATAAATAACTATAGGAAATAAATAAATAACTAGGAAAACTATAGTCTCTACTAGTTTTCCTGTTTCAAGTAACCTTTGCACTATTAATTTAAATTTGATACCATCAGAACTTACTAAAGGTAAATTACATGAATTACTAGGCATTCTCAATATGAAGGAAAACTGGTTGGTTATGCAACCTGCACATATCTGTAAAGAAAGATATATGTGAAGTCAACCCACATAAAGTCAGCATGTTTGTTTATGCCCTAGTCACCCTTAATTTAATGTAGGCTCTGAGTTTTTCAGTAGGAATGTATGTAAATTATAAGATTTTCAAATATGAGCTTACCATCAAGAGCAATATAATTGAGATTAAACTTGGCTGCCTCAATTTCCTTTGGATCCTCCTGAGTGATATCTCTCAGAGCAAATAATTCCTTCTGTCTAAAATCTGCATTGTCATCGAAACGGAACTTGGCATCCAAACAGAAGTCTGTAATATAAATGAAATATTTACTTATTTATGCATATTCTAGTTTGCTGACATAAGCTATGTATTTGAATAAAAATATATGACTTGTATACTTGAATTAGAGCGAATACTAACTATAATTGAAACTTACATTTGCCAGTAAGTGCATCTTCCGCATAAGGGTTCACTTCAATCAGTAGGGCATCTTTTTTTAAAAACAGATCATACATTTTTTTAATCAATCCGTGAGCTTCCTCCCCCTGATCACCGAGTCCAATCTGTAACAATCATTAACAGTGTCATTAATTTTAACTGTACAGTTAATCTGACAGTTTAAATTATGTTTTCACACCAACAATTTAATGTAACAGTTTGACTGTTAACAATTTCTTCTAAATTAAAGTTTATGAGACATATTCAAAAGGGTTTCGGATATAAAGAGTACAATATTTAAAATTTTACCTTCTTGACAACTCGGGATATTTGTTCATCTGTGATGCCCTGCATAATATCAATGGGCTCATAGGTGATGGCATCAGGGTTCTCTGCAGCAACATCCTCGATGTTCACACCACCTTGTGATGATGCTATTATCACAGGTCCCTTGTAAAACATATCTAATATTAATTAAACTAGTTCGGAGAGCTGTACAGATTGTAATTCCTGCATGGCTGAACAAAAATAAATGAAATTTAGAATACAGATAGATTACAGATTGTAGAGTATAATTTTTTACAAATTAAAAATACTTACATTGAAACTACGTTCCATCATGATAGCTACGTAGAACTCCCTGCGAGGGAACTTTCTCTCAGTAACCATTACCATGTTACAAATACGACCAGCTGCCCCTGTCTGTTTGGTCACCAAGTATTGTTTCAACATTTTACCAGCAATATCACCCGCAACTTGTGGACTATAATTATGTAAAAAAAATTAATACCATTAAAACAGTCTTTCCAACAATTTTTCTTTGAAGAATTTTTATTTAAATACATCTTGTTACTAATAAACTGTTCTTACCTATCAACCATGCGAACACCTCCTTTAAGACCATTTTTAAATGATCCCCTTCCACGACCTCCCGCAAGGACCTTAAGGTAACAAAACCAGAATAGGCATATATTATTTTATGGATAACAAATAAAACAAAGCTTCAATTTCCTACATACCTGTGCTTTGAGTACAATATCTTTGGTGTTGAGTTCAGTAGCAAACTTAACTGCATCTTCCTTGGTTTTTGCAACATTAAATTTTGGAACAGGTATGCCATGATCACGCAGTAATGTATAGCTGATATATTCATGGACATTTAGATGTCTGACCTGTTGTTTATTTGGTAGCCTGCTACCTGATGTTGTGGCCAGTATCTAAAATAAAACAATATTACAAATGGTTCATTTTCATTCTATTACATTAATAAATATAATCATTTTTTTTATTACAGACAATCACTATTTACAGTAAATGCAAAAAAATAAGGAGAGAAATCACAGGAAGATAACTAATAGATTTGTATCTAAACATCTTAGATAAAAGAGTAAAAAATAAACATTGTTACGTGCGTATGACGTAAGGTTGGGACTTCCAATCGCAAGGTCAAATATATAATTGAACTAATTTTTTCTAAAAAGGTAACAGTTATTTTATGGTTTTATTACATTTTAGTCATGTCCGTTTTACATCGTTTTATGACCAATAACTTATAAATGAGCATAATTATTACAAAAATGAATTAGCATAAGGATCTTATTAATTATAACGTAAAACATATAATATCTAAATGACAATGATGTAACTAATTTACCTTAGGTCCATTTTTTAAAAATAAATTTTCAGCAAGGCCAAGAGAACGAGGGAACAAAGTCGCCATTTTTCGTGCCTAACTAGGTCCTAAGGAACAGCAGCAGTGTTGCCTTTTTCTAGGCAAATTGAGTTGAGGCTAAACTTTTCTATCAGTCAGAAAAAGTCAGAAACGGAAACGTCATGCAGATCCAGGGTCAAAGATAATGGTTGACATAACTATGTAGGTATTGCTATTAAGAATAAAACCATAGAGTACATTTACTGTAGTGAGGAGACAAAGATTTCACTTAACTATTATCTTACCAACAAAATCATCGATTTTTCATAACTGAAATCGATTTAGGTAGTAGTTTATGTCCTTATTAACTCATTCACTTTGATTATCGTAGCGTGAAATTAGTTATGCGATGTGAAACTTTTCGATTGTGGGTCCCATAATTGTATATTAAAAAAAATTAAACTCCTTGAGATTTCTGTATTATTCTTCAATTGCTATAAGTATTTTTAAGCAAACATTTAAGCACCTGGTATTTACAAATTAATATGATGAGCGAAAATTGTTTGCCGCACTAAAGTTTTACAAATGAAAAATGCTGTTGCATATTAAATTTCCTATCCATGAAACTACAGACGGTGATTGTATGTACATGCATTTGCAAAATTATGTTGAAATTGTATACATCAAAAGCTTAAATTCACCAATTTCATCTGATTCTTCCATACCTTCCTTAAAAACATAATATTCTTCAGTACATCTGCAACAAGAGGTAGAGAGGAGAAGTAAGGACCTCAAGGTAATGAAGAGAATAGGCCACATTTAAAATATATCGATTTTTGCTTCGTAGTCCTTAGATATTGAGTAAAGTAATTGAAACGATAAAAACATTTGAGAATCGATCTCAGTGGTTTTAAAAAATCTATGTTTTTGTTTTAAAAAAAAGACGAGTTGTTCAGTGACGCAATTGGGTAACGATGTTCAATAGGCAATATGCATATGACGCCAAATTGTACCAAACTTTTTTCAGTATACTTTATTACTATAAAAACACTCCTGCAAAAAATTTTTTTCAATGTATTGTGATTTAGTGGCAAAATTTAATCATTAAAAAGTGTCTTTTTTCAAATTCCCTCTCTTAGTTCTAAAACGAACACTATTGGTCGAAGCAAGTGGCATATCTAATATGGCATCGCTGTGTTGTCAATACACAGTTCATTTACGTTAGTTTATATAGCACATACACTCTTGAAATATTTTACTGTAAACACGATATCAAAACCAACTTTAAAATAAAAAAAATAATGAATAGAATTATTTATTACCACTTATTTGTAGCAGGAATAATAAAAATGAATCGATTTTTGACTTTTTGACCTTGAGAAGCAATGAGATACTTTGTAGTTTTTTTACGTCGAAGTGACATCTGAGCGTAAGTTATGAATGAAATATGACGATTGACGTCAATTGTCTCATGACAACTCCGGTCGCGTTTTAGTCGCTCGAATATGGTCGTAATCATACTTTATTATTTTTGGTTCAATCGTTGAATATTTTCGGGTCAATTTTTTTTTCTGATTATTTTATAACAAGTAGAATCGTTTGAATAAAGAAAAAAAATACGCATATCTTCCCTATTGTCATTATTATAATAAATATTATATATAATCTGAATGTGTTGCAGATCTTCCATTTTTTGGCATTTTTCAGTAAAATACACTTAAACCACCTACTATGCAAGACCGAGTCTTGCATAATTCATTGGAATTCGTTATTATTATGGCCAAGTCTAATAATATAATCACTATTAGAACTGTCCCTTAATAGGTCATAAGTTTTTAACTTTTAGATACTTTGGATTTTTTTTTTGGAAACCGAAACCGATAATCGATAGTTCAGTTGTTCGATATCGATATGCGCGTATGCGTCACTATGATACCCGCCTATTAAGTAGACATTTAACTTTATAAAAATAATTCCATACTTCATATGCATGATTTATCAAACTAGTTAATCCTAAATAGACAAATTATTATCTCTTTGCACTCTGATTTAAACATTGTCTTGAATATTAAAAAAAAAAGATAACGATATACTTTTGTATCCATTATATTAGTGTTATGTATAAAAAAAATATTTAACCGCCCCTTTACACACCTTTTTTCCAAATTTTTACGTAATTGAATTCGTTGTCTTTTCAGACGCTCTCTTTTCAATATTTTCTTTTTGTTCACTTTGTTTCCCATGTTCCAGGAGTGTTATTTAATATTTTTATTAAATATATCGGGGTTTGCGCTCTTAAGATTCTCACAACGACTAGACTTACTGACGACTGAATGGTGATTGTCGAATGACAACAAATAAGCGCACGTTCTGTTCAATTTCAATATGACTCGAACTTTTAAATTTATTTTTATTATATACAAATTAGCGGTCGCCCACAATTTTGTCAGCTCCGAAGTAAAACAAAAATTTAACTTAAGATAATCCCGCGTGCATCTACTTTCCCGTCAAAGTCCTGTCGACAGAACTTCTGTCATTCCATTGATTATCCGGAGCGTGCTCTGCTGGTTTTTTTTTTCAATGGTGCATACAGTCACTCCTATTATACAATGTATTAGATTTAAAGCCATTTGTGGGTTTTTGAATTAAGTGAAATCTTCATAAAATCTTCATCAAATGCATGCATGTTTGCATTTTTTCTTTCTGTTTTATCACTTATGACTCTAGCATTACAAAAAAAATATTTTTGGTATTTTACTATAGTTTCAGAGTAAGGATTTCAAGGAGTAAAAAAAACACTGTTTTTAAACTTAATATGTAATTAATAAACAATATCTTATACAAATACACGAAATGCTACACATTTTTAGCCCAATTTCTAGTTCTGTGCTATTCTAACTATACTTTTATTTGTTGGTTTTGTTTGAATTGATAGTTCACCATTTTTGTTTTTATCTTCAGTCCACACTCCATTTCCAGAGAAGTAATGCTTCTTCTCTAATAAATATAGTACTAAACTTAACTTCTGTGAGTCACTAAGTTTAGACATATCTAAATGATCAAATGGATGTAATAGTAATGAATCTCTGTGGTGTAACATAAGGATTGTATCTCTAATTTTGTTCCATGGATAAAGTAATATTATACAATTGTCACATACATCTGCCGGTGAAAACTTCTTCAAGAGTTGTTCTGCAACATATTTAACTTGTACCAATGGTATATTGAGCCAAAACGGATGCCTTTTAAGCAACTTTCTTATATCGCTGGTGGAATACTTATTTTCTAGAATTCCACAAATACAGAATAGCAAATCTTTTGACTTGCCTAAGCGATCCCCATGCATTTTCTCAAATGTTTCATAGTGTGAAAAACTGCCTGATAGTATATTTAAACTAACACATTTTTTGTTTTGGCCGTATAAGTTCATAAGTCTTTTTGTTGTTTTTTTATTATAATGTATCATTTTCAAAAAACGTGGATGATTCAAATATGTCATGAACTCTGGAGTCTGCTTAGCATTTTCTAATCTTTTTCTAATAGTTTCTGGACTTAAAGTGTAAATCTCAAAGCATCTTGTCTGTGCTTCATTGGAAACATTGAATTCTTGTAACACATTTCTTATTTCTACCATATTTGAAAATTTTTTCATTGCAATTTTAGGATGCAATCTTAAAATTTCTTTTATGTCAATACCACCTATAAATCTAAAATTGTAAATCAGATTTTTCAAATTATCTGGATCAGCATGAATCAAGTATAGATTCGATTTAATTTTAAAACTTGGCATCATTATTTGTGTTTGCAATATGTTTAAAGTTTCATTAATAATTTCAAGTGGGCGGTGTTTGATAGTGGGATATGTTTTTAAACCTCGGTAAAATTCATCACTACTTAAGTCTAAAATCAACTCAAGATATCTTTGGATTATTTTCAAACGAAGGGAATATAAAGAAAAATCGTTGACATCACCATATATTAATGTTGTAAGGGATGTTGGCCATTGTGTCATGCAACTTGCAAGCCTGTTCTCTATATTAAGATGGTTAGGAATAAAACCATCACTTCTCAATTGCCCTATAGTTTTTTGCTTCACTATATTTAAATATCTTAATAAGTTCTTAGGTGTTACACTCTGCAGACCACATTCTTTTAAAACTTTATAACGATATTTTAATGTTATTGGTAATACACCAAATAATGCTGGGTTTAAAATTAATGTTTGTGTAGAAAACCCAAATTCTTTTAGAGTTTTTGTTAATGTTTTAATCTCTTTTTCGTTGATTTCTTTTAGGACAGGTTGTTTCAATTGCAAAAGTTTTGCATGACACTCATCTATTTCCAGATGTTTACATAATAAATATATACTATTTTCCGCAATAGAGGACATGTTTATCCGAAAGTTTTCATTTCTACTTAGCAAAGTAAAGCGTCTCAAGACGTAACTTTGTCTTAAAAACATTATTGTATGTTATATTATGAATAGTTTTCTATTTCTGTGTTATCCATAGTTCAAAGCAAAGGGTGTTTATAACTCTGTACCTTCCATTCACAATTCAATACATGAAATCTTGTTTTATATACAGTAAGAGCTTTATAGTTATAAAACTCCTGTAGTCTAGATACAGCCGGTATTAGGTATCATTACTAATAATTAAAAATCAGAATTCAAATTGAATTGGCTTTTGATGTGATACCTGACAGCTGTTACCTGTCTGTAACTGTCAATGTTTTACACATATTTGACCACATACAGAGTAAGCAATGTGCTATTTTGTCCTTTTCCAAAGGTTTTTAACAATAAATTGACCTATCTCAAACAACATTAACATTTAAAGCTTTGATTTTAATCAAGATTTTTGTAATTACGATTTGATACTTTTATGCCTGTGGCTTTTATCATTTTATTGTTTGTATATCTGTGATCATCTTGATTTACTTTGCGTCATAATTAAAAAAAAAATCTGGGTGGGTGTTGTGTTGTTGTTTTTTTGAGATTTAATATAACTTGTATTTAAAACAGTAAAGCATTGAAAACTACTTTTATAATGACATCTAAATCAAAAACAGGGTTATTTGCTTTAGGTTTTTATACTGTCGCCGCACTGTTTATAATAATAGCATTTGCCAGTCCATTTTGGCTTGTAACGGATGGTAAACTTAAAAATCCAAAATTTCTAAAAATAGGTTAGTAATAAATAGATTTTTTTTTCAGTAGAGTAATTCTTATACCAGATTCATTCTTTTACAGTACTGTAACATTTTAATTTTATATCTAGGTTTGTGGGAAGTATGTTTCAACGGTTTTGAAGAGGTACACCATTGGTATGATACAGTGTTTAAGGGATGTTGGTGGATATTTGAAGAAGAGTATTATATTATACACGACATACTTTTGCCCGGCTTCTTCATAGCTACACAATTTTTTTTCACAATTGCCACTTGTTGCGTACTTGTATCAATGTTTATGACATACATATATATGAAGAAAGACAAAGATGATGACAATTATGTTACACTCTTAGTTACATTGGGCACAGTTCTTGTAATTGGAGGTAAGTGGTTCATTTACTTCTGAGCTGGACAGTCATACTTTAATACCTAATCTGAATGAAGCATCATTTTAGTGATTAACACTTAAAACTCATCTCTTAATATTATTTGAAGCTAAAAAAAGATTTTAACTGTTTAAAATGTATAACAACTTCATTGAAATATAAAAATATTTGAAGATACACACATAATTTGTGTTATTTCCCTTAATATTTGAAAGTGATTTTAAATAAATAACTTAAATGTTTGTTATAGGATTTTCAGGATTAATATCTGTGGTAACATTTGGTGCAAGAGGAGATGGACGCGACTGGATGCCCAACTGGGAACACAATGACCTTGGCTGGGCCTTCGCTCTGGGTGTGATCGGAGTTCTCTTCCTGTTTCCAGCGGGTATTCTTTTCCTCATTGAAGCTAGAGTTCAAAAGTACAAAAGGCTCCATAACATGCAGAGTAGAGAACCCTCTTCTCACACCATGCATGAAAGAAAGATTGGATTCTCAGGTCATACTGACATATAAGTACTTCAACTATCATAAGTCTTCTTTGGTATTAATTGGAATATGATACTGATATTTTTTGTATAATTTTTACTTTATGTAATGTCATTTTATTAACACTCATACATGGAAATCATTCCGTCCAACACTTTTCAAGTTGCATTATCTTTTTTTATAATGCATAATTCTCATTTTGTACTAATTTAATTAGTGTTTTTAATTATACTAACATAAGTTTTTTGCAATGACATTTTATTTTACATACAAATTGTATTTAGTTGTAGTGTAGTTGTATGACATAATTTTATTTTTAAAAATAGTTTTTATAAGATTTTTACAATAAATGTAATCATTTTAGTACTAGCCTTTTTAATGGTTTACCTCCCCCTTAGTTTGTTGAAAACATTTATAGAAAGTAGCTGGTAATTGAAAACATTTGGGCACAGTAATTTCGCTGAATAAAGCAGACTACATAATTTTATTTTTAAATGTGGATTTTTATAAGTTTTTTTACAATAAATGTAAACATTTTAGTTCTTGCTTTTTAATGGTCTACCTCCCCTTTAGTTTGTTGAAAACATTCATAGAAATTAGCTGGTATTTGAAAACTATTGGGCACAGTACTTTTGCTTAATAAAGCCGACTTTGCCGCCTCAAATCCTAGAGATACACAGTGAGATTCTTGATAGCAAGATAAAATGCCGTGAATGTAACCACTGGCAAAACAGTCTCCAGCTCCTGATACATTTTCTACATTATTTAGTTTTTCAACTGAATAATACTGTACATTCGGTTTTTTTTCGGTTGAAGGTTGTTCAGAAGCGTTATTAACAGTAATAACGCCTTTCTTGCCCATTGTTACGATCAGTATCTTAATAAATTGAGTTACAATCTTTGAGAGATCAATTATTTCATTAATATCGGATGCTTCTTCAATAATAATGCTTGGTTCAAGGAATTTTGCCATAGTCCGTAATTCCATTATATTTGGGGAAGAATATGTAATTCTGTATTTTTTGGAATGTAGTGCTTTTGTTGCTTTTCTTCTATCAGTAGGTTCAAAAAAAACTGAAACAATGTAATACATTGTTAGTGTGAAAGAAAAGCAATGGCGTTTTAACTCTACAAAAAATATCAATCACTTATACAAATGTACATGTTCTCTTATTATATTCTTTGTTAACTGTAATTGGCGAGCATTGTGTGACTATCTTTTCAATATCATTTAATGCCTTTGGTCATGAATAGAGTAATTTTTAAGTAATTTAAATTTAAACTTGTAGCAACCGTTGGGTATAGACATCTCTGTTTATTTCTACAAGTTTAATTTAAGTTTATAGTCTACAGCAGACCATAAACAACAAGAAAACGTGAATAATTTCAAAACTAGGGATGTTCGTGGGCTTGTCTCAACGAACTAGTTGTAACAATTTCGTTTAACGCACCCACGTTTTAAAGTGACTAACTGTAGGTTTTTACTACCGTGACACTTGTATTGATACATATATTGTCATTCTATTCACTTTTTCCAAATATGATCAAAGCTAGTGTATATTAGTGGAATTATATTTAATTAAACAGGGGATGAAAATATGATTCAACTTCATTAAAGCTGCCCATCACTATGGTAAAACTAACCAAGCGTCAGGTGTCAGTGTCAATGTCAGTTCATGTCTTGTGCTTGTGTTTCAAAAGTATTTTGTTTTACAAGACTACGCCCAAACAATAGTCAAGAATTCAACAAAATAACGAAATCAGGTATAATACGATATAATACGATAAGTAATAGTTTCGGTTGTGGTTGTGTTAAAAGAACCATTTTGTGGCCATATCTTTGTTAAAGATATTTACTATGTAATAGCTACTAGAAACAATATTGAATAATTTTTAAACGGTTATTACATGGAGGTTTACTGTTTTGAATTTCTCTTCATTTTTTTGTATTACTGTTTTCAATTTCTATTTTCAAATTATAAGAAATATTGTCATAACGTAATCTATAAAGTTTATAAACCATTTACTTTTATATAGGTCATTTTTAAAGAAAATTATCATATTTGACAAGCTTTAATGTTAATGTGTAGTTTTAAACATAAAATAATTGAAAACTGTATTAAGAACACAAAAATATACAGTAATTTTTGTGTTCAAAAAAATTTGAATTATTCCAATTAGAAATATTATTTTTTATCTTAAAACAATATTTTGTAAGGTTATAGTTACAGATATGCATTAAAATTCAGAAAAATCTGTGGTCATAAATAAAATGTCATCCAAAAAACTGAACTGAAGTAGAGGTCAAGTAACTATTTTCTGTAGTAAAATATTTATATAATGACCTTAAGTTTGATTGAAACGAATTTTTTGTTTGTCTTGTGTTTCCCACAGTGAGCAGTGTGTGAACTGTTTGTCATTGTGTTGTAGGTGAATGTAATGGTTGTGTTGCGCACACCACACACCGAATGTGCTTCCCCATTTAGTGTGTGTTGTGAAACTTGTGGCTTATTCATCTCAGAGACCTTGCCTTGCTTTAATAAGCCTATTCTATATTTTTATAGCATTGTTAAGCTTAGCAACTTAAAGAACATAATATTTAGAGAATAAGTAGACATTAAAAGAATTGTTAGTGTTCATGTTTTAAAAAATTTAATCATAAATATCAAAATATTCTTTACTTTGTTAAATTATGACTTTTTCACAAATGTTATTTGAGAAAAACAAGATTAGAAATTTTTTATTAGTGTTATAATTTATAGAAATATCTCTGTGTTTGTTATTCACAGGTTTTATTTATTTCCTAATAGAAAAAACAAAGAGATTTTTTTGGTTAATTTAACATTGCGTTTTTACTACTTTGTAAACAGATAGGAAATAAAGCATAAAGGTTGTTACAGACAATGAAGAACAGAAGTTTAGCAGGTAACTGTGGCATTGCTGTATTCATAATTGCCCTTGTGACAGTGGCATTGGCATTCGGCACGCCTAGTTGGATTGTCAGTGATTCAAGAATAAGAGGCAACCAATTAGACAGGTGACAAAGTTGGATTTGTTTATTTTTGAGTTAATTTAGTTTTGAGTTAATTTTTGAGTTATAGTCTTGTAGATATTTGTTCATGTAATTACTTTTTTAATATTTTATATTAGATTTGAAAATGCGTTTGTTAGATCTTAACACATTGGTTTAATTGATATTGAAGATTTTTGTTGTGGTTCTTATTTGTCTTTATTTAATACAGATTGGGATTATGGAGTCATTGCTTCAGATCGCTCCCCGATCCTTTGGATCAATATCAGCGCAGATTCTTTGTGGGCTGCAGATGGGTTTATGACCCATTCACTACAGGATATGACCGTATTTTGGGATATCTACTTCCAGGTAGAATATCTCTGTCTTACTTATTGTATTATTGATTTTTTTTACATCAATTAATTTTTATTTTATGTGCATTGATTCTATTATTGAATGGTAATTAAAAAAGTAGTAACTCTACAATATTATTTTTTGATTTTTCAGGATTCATGATAGCAACTCAATTCTTTTTCACCCTGTGTCTTGTGGGAGTGTTAATTTCAACTATTTTGGTTCTTGTATTCTTCCTATGTTGTGGACCTGACCAAAATAGATTTATACTAATAATCCAGGGTATAGGATACATAATGTTGGGAGCAGGTGAGTAATGGAATATGTAATCTTAAGTTTTTATTGTGTGAATAATGTTATTAACCAAGCTGTTATAATTTTAGGTATAAGTGGATGTATAGCTGTTATAGTGTTTGCCTGTTTTGGTAATACTGAAGGATGGATGCCAGGACATCCTAACAACTACTTTGGTGAGTAAATAACTTAATGAACTCTGAAAAAAATTGGCATATTAAAGACCTGATCACAGATATACAATATGCTCAAGTAAATTAATCCTTTGCCAGGTTTTTTATTATGTTTCCTTTGTATTGCAGGGTGGTCGTTTGGTCTTGCAGTGGTTGGATCTGTGGCTTGCATTATCACAGCAGCTCTGTTCTTAACGGAAGCAAACATTCAATCAAAGAAACAAAACCGTTTTAAAGAGTCACAGGCACGTTTTGAGTTGGAACATGAGTCAAAAGCCTAGTGCAAGTTTTGTAAACTTTGCCTTTTTGTAGGCCAGTAAGAGCTTACAATGTAAACCATTTTTTATCCACAAACTATCGAGATAAACTGCCAGCCTTAAGTAAGCTTTAATATTTTAAAAAGATAAGGCTTTGTAAGGTATATTTAAATTTAAGGACATTAACACTTTTCTTCTGCACATTATTTATAAATGTACAAATAGATCGGCATTTGAATCTTCTGAAAAATTAAATATGGTTTTATATGTAGTTTGTAAGTTAATATTAGGTTTCATATTTTTTTTTAGCTTAAGTTTAATAACATTCCACCCAGCAATATTCCGTCCGCAATCGCTTTAATCGCCAAATGTGTCTATTTTTAGTGATTTTAACATCTTAAGAACTTCTTTATTTAAGTATTCCCTTAGCATGACTTAGTATTGGAATCTATCAATTTAAATGTTTAAAGTGCCTTTACATTTTAGAGAAATAACAAATTCTAGTTGTAAGGTTTATGTTTTATGTGTTTGTATTGTACAATTTTATCTGTTAAAACTACAGATATTTACATTATTCCGTCCAAAATAGATATAAACATTTGTAAATCAATTTATGGTCATTAAACGAAGTGTAAACAACTAAAATATGATTGAATAATGTTTTATCCATTAGCTCTCTTTAACAAAAACAAAAAATTTAAATTAAAATCAACAAAAACATTGTTCCATCTATATAAAGAACAATTTTAAAAAGCCAACTTACAATGTAATTCAATGCTCCTTCCGGATAATCAGTAAATAGGTTAACTAATGATGACCCCTCTCAATGAGGTGATTAATGTAACTATATTGTGTTAGTAGTATAAAACATTTATATTACTATATATTACTACATATATCACACTACAATTTAAATGTTGAAATAATCTTACAACGATCAATTTTATTCTACTTTTATGTGTGTAATTTATAAAAGATGTGTTGGGGTTTAGATTTTAATTACATTTTTAATTAACAATTTATACATCACTACATTTATTTTTGTTAAAATGTATTTTTATTTTTAAGGAAATAAAGTATTTTAAACACACTTAAGTTTTTTTTTATTTTATTATTTGAGAATGGCTATAAATAAATAACCGAAAAATGATTTCTCGCAGGAGCAAGCTAAATGCCAAGAGGCATCAAAAATCTATTGTCATTGAGTCTGCTAAAGGGAGGGTCACCCACAAAACGATATACTTGCACATGCTACATGAGAATCACAATGTTTCTTATGGCTACAATCTGTTCAATATGGATAAAGAAGTAATCTACTGAACTGAAACTGTAGTCTTGATGAGGCTCATATTATTTTTGTAGGACCAAAAATATTTTATCTTCTCAGTTGTCTATTGAAGTAAAAAAAAAAGAATTATGTCAACGTCAAGTAACCGTCAAACTGGTAAATAAGTAAACGAATTGGATTTATTGTTTGAACGATAATTTAATCTCGATTTGTTTATTAAAAGTAAGAGATAAATACAAAATATTTAATTAGTAGTAAAATACCAGAAAGATAAAATGACGGCTAATAACGAATATCCGAAAGCATCAAGTAAGTAAACGGTTTGGGCACGCCCTTTATTTGTAAATATCTAAGAAAACTTTAGGTTTTATAATCGTTATCGATTATTTGCCTCAGAATCCGAAAAATACATTTGTCCAAAACACCCGTTTTTACATTTTTCAGATGCTACTTTGATTGGTGCGAGTATAACGTATATAGGCGGGCTGTTTCTACTTCTATCATTTGCCGGGCCGTATTGGATTGAATCGTATTCCGAAATGTTTTCGCCTTTCAAACATATGGGGCTATGGGAGTATTGTTTCGATCGTTTCAGATTTCCTTCATTTCAATATAATAAGTTGTTCCATGGCTGCCACTACATTTTCAGTGAGGTAAAGTTTTACTTTCTATCAATTGCATTTTAGGGTTTTTATAATTTTTGTTTTCATTTGAATCTTAAGCACTTGCTATTTTTCTTCTATTTACTTTTCTTAAAAATATATACAAAGTACATTGTTTTCAATTGATATTTTAATGCAAAATGCAAAAGAAATATTCTGTCTATATTACATTATGTTTGTTGATTTTGTAGGAGTACTATGTGATCAGAGAGTGGCTCTTGCCAGGTTGGTTGATGGCAGTCCAGGCATTTGTAACATTGGCATTGATATTGTCTCTGACTGCACAAGTGCTACTGGCATGTGTGATTGTGCGCTGGCCGCTAAGAACTGTTCTATGTTATGAGTGGATATTTGTATCATCTGCATTTGTGATGGTGGCAACTTCTAGTAAGTTTTAATTTATAATTATGTTTTAAAAATGTAAATGTTTTTGTGAAGTTTGGATAGATGTTTCTTCCTAAGTATTTCAGAAGAGGCTTAATGGGTCTTGTTTAATATTGGCACAGACGTAGCAAGACTTTTGTTTTTATAAAATATGCTAAAGTCATTATTATTGTAGTCTTTATTTTAGTCTGTTAATGTTTTTAATTGCATTTTAGGTGCATTTTTATTCCTGGGAGTTGCCATATTTGGTGGGAATTGTTATCGCCGCAGCTGGTTGCTGTATCCATCATTCAATGTGCTGTCCTGGTCTTATGCATTTGCTGTTATTGCATTTATATTGTTTGGTAAGAATTGCAACTTTATTTCAATCACGATGTATTTTTTTGAGTGGCATTTGTGTCATTTCTTACTGCTTTGTTATAAAAAGTAGTTCTTTCAAATCAATAAAATGAATGACTGTTACATTATTCTGTAACATTTATTTTGTAACATTAAGGGTCTGTCCCACCACTGGCTGATTGACACTCAGATAGCTTAAAAATGATGTCACTGTCAGATCAGGTAACAAAATCCGATATTTCCATCACATATTCTACATTTTGGAGTGTTATCAGACAATTTACAATTTGGTGGGACAGGCTGCAAAAGTTATTAAATGTTTTTCAATGATGGATTATGTATAATACTAGTTATTTAACAGATCAACTGTTGTAGGTCTTGCCGCTATTCTCCTGTTCTTGGAGGCACGGAAGCTATATGAGTTACGTTTGGAGGCAAAGAACTTGGTGGCCCAGATGCAGCACAGCCAGCCGGAGCATGCGCTGCATCAGCTGCGGGACCAGCTGCAGCAACAACAGCTTCAACAGCAGCAGCAGCTGACTTACTACAGACATTAAGGTCTTTTTTCAAAGATTTTTATCATATAAAGGTCATTAGACGGTATATGAACGAAACTGTTGGTATAAGATGTACCATATTAAATTTTCCGTGTGTACTTTCTCATATTTGAAGAAATCTCCTTATAATGTTTGCTCTATTTGAATCTCTTTGGTTGATTATATTTTTTACTGTCTATTAGAATTTATTGTACTTTATGTACACTGATGTGTGTTGTTTAATGGATTTGATTATTTTTACCTACTTTATTGATATTAAGGATTTGTATCTATTATGTGAATACTATTGCGATTTAATTTTTGACCAACTTTCCAAAAGAAGGAGGTACTCCATTCGTCTACTTTTTTTATTATTTTCTTATTCATCGACAAGCAAATGTCTAGTTGTATCTATTTACAGTACATTTATGTTTATAGTTGAATTCAATAGAAATGAGAAATTATTAAACTATGTAAAGGATTTTACTTTTTTAAGGCTGTCAACACAGAATTAATAACAGGTTGTATCATCAATTTAAACACTGAAATTTAGCATTTATTAACATTTGAGTAAAATATATTGCAATTCATTGTCTTTAAAACACAACTGCTTACTCAATATTAAACAAACCTTTTTCTATATTTTTCAATTGAATTTACAAAATTATAATGTACTTTGAGAACAAACATGTTTATGCATTAAAAATTATAATAAGTCTTGAGCACGTAATTGTCACATTAGTAATGAATTAACAAAAAATTAAGTAAGAATCTTTTAATGTTTTATGACCTACATTGGGACCACTTGTCAACTTTCAGTAAATGAGGTATTAAATATTTTACTTCAAGTGAAACTTACACAAATAAGATAAATAAAAAAATATTTATCTAAATTTACTTTTTAGTATGTTTTATAAATGGATTAATTTAGGGCCATGATTTTTTTATACTTAAGTTAATTATATAATATATTGGCATTAAAAAGACTTAACATAATTAAGTTTAAAATGAAGTAAGATACAAAAGTACATAATTAGTTATTTTAACGTTTGAATCTCTTTATATGTATTTTTGTTTGACATTAAAAATATCTGTAGTAGATTTAAGTGATGAAATTAGCCGTTATCCGTCCAATTGAAGTGTACTTTAACATTAGGCTATTTTATAATAGGCTTAGACTTTTGTTAGCACCTAAAATTATCAATAAATAACATTATATTCAACTTTGTCTTTTATTTTTGTCCTTTAATGTCTGAATGTACTAGCTTTAGCTTTGAATTAAAAAAAAATCAAAAAGTGTAGCCTAAGTGCTCTACCAGACTATCCTATACATCTATGCCAAATTTTCTCGAGATCCGTTCATCCGTTTAGGCTGCAAATTCTAACAGACATCCATCTATCCATCCATCTGAACTTTCGCATTTATAATATTAGTAAGATTCAGTTACCCCACATTTAAAATATTAGTAAGATTGGTAAGATTTACTTACCCCACTTATCAACTGTACGTTACATGTTAACCCTACTTCATTTCTATCTTAATTCCATTTAATATCCATTACAATCATGCTTAGTTGAAAATTACATAGAAAGTATTTATATCATGGTATTGTAAAATATACAACAAAGCTATAATTAAATTAATATCTTACCAGGTTTGTCCATTTCGTGGCACAATTGTAGCACGTAGTCCATTGTTGGTTGCGGCACGTTGCCGTCCAGCACCACTAGGGGCGCCTTCTCCAGTGTTTTAATATGTTTGTCTACCTACACACATTTTTTACAAATAGCTAGAGACTATTTAAAAAAAAAAATATTTGTATATGAATATCTAAAACAAATAGGCTACAGAAAATCGCTACGTATCAGAAATATGTAACATTAAATAAGAAAACTTTCTATTGAAATAAAATGAAATAATTCTTACCATTTGAGGTGTTATTTGATTATGAATATCCATGTCACCGAGTCCTAACAGACATTCTCCTTTCGAGTCGAAGAGTACCGAATACATCGAGGTTCGTGCATCCTTGACCACGCAACCTGGAACAAATGTGTTTATTACGATGTATTAAGCTTTTTATACAAAAACATAAAATATTACTATAACAGCTTTACTACATGTGGTTAAAAAAACTTTCAACGCAATTTTGTACCGCTTGTATCCGGCTTGCAATGGACCAAGTTTCACAAATTCACAAGTGAAGTATGAGTTTTAACTAAACATTTACCTTCAAGCAACAGTCCAGGTGCTATGTCGGAGAGATATCGTCCGTCCGAATCATCGCCGATAGCAGTGAGAAGGCGCGCGTTGCCTCCACGGAGTCGCCACAGTGCCTCTGCTATGTTGCGCCCTACGCCGCCCCCGCACTGCTCTGTCACACACGGATGTGTACTACCGTCCAACTGAAATAAAAGATATCACTGGCCGATTTAATAATTCAAATGTTAATGCTAGACTCTTTTTTCTCTCATCTAGAATCTGATAGTTTTTGTTCTCATTTAAGTCCGTTAACGGTCAGTGATTTGACTCAACACAAGTTGCGTGTTCGGTTTTAACACATGTAAATGCGATCAATGAAAACTTGTAAGTTACTTGATGTGCATTGTGCCGATCTACATCAACATCCAATTATAGTGACGGTCACACCTAAGCGCACCACTGACACTAATATCTTATACAAACTGCACGCAACAAATGTGTTTTAACTCAAAATAAGACATGCGAAGTAAAAAAAAAAAATAAAGGGGATACATTTAGAAATAAAACATTCGTACAAATAGGTCATGAAATATACAATTCGAACGTAAAATTACATAGGTCTGAGAATAACGGGAAACCTTATGTATGCCATAAATTTCAATGAGTTATACAGGTCTCGGTGCGTCAAGTACGTCAATCGCAAGGCTTCTTGAAGCTTTTGGGCTTTTAGATTGCTAAGTTTTTACCGCGAATTATCTCCATACCAGTATTACCCTCTTATGAATTATTTAAATATCGGACTTTCACCGATCCGTGATAAATGCAAATTAACTCAAAAATTCTTTCCCCTTTAAATGCTACAAAATCCCTAAGTAACCGAACATTTGTATAACACTGTTTATAAATAAATGTCGACTCAACCACACATGCAAAATCTGGTTACGGCACTAGTGTAGTATAATTCAGGTTGGATTACAGCAATGCAAGCCATTGACTTCGTTGCGATGCTATCGGTCGCCGGCACGCAACCACAACTCTATCTTACACCGAATTATGCAACTTGTATCGTTTTTGCACCTATAGTAAATAAAATAATAATTTATGTTGCGCTAAAGCCAAAAGTCTTTATGTTTAATTCATGTAAGTGGGCTACGACGGAATATATCGGTCGAGCCACTGGATGAAACAAACAGCCTACACAGACGTTTGCCTTTGCAAATTAGGTCGTTACATTGAAACAAATTTGTACTTCCGTATAAAATAAAGTTGTTTTTTTTTACAATGGTAGAGCCAAGCGACTCTATAGTGTGTCTAAATAAGATAGATTAGTTTGATAAATAACGCATATGAAGTATCGAATTCAATTTGTATGAAAGTAAATGCCATACTTAATAGACAGGTATCGTAGTGACGAGACAAACACGCATAGCGAACAATTATAAATTATCGATCTTCGGTTTTAATATTTATCGAAAATTATTATTTTCTTTTTAACTAATTTAGAGAACAATTTTAGTATTGATTATAGTGTAGAGAATTTAGCGATGACATAAATATTAGCGAAATTCAATTCGACTACGTACGGCTGTAGTAGAAATAAACATTTATTTGCTCTCATTATTTGTAATGATTCTGCAGGTCATTATTAAATTGAGAAAATAGTGTTTTTTTTTTAATTCATAAGTTTTAACTACGAATCTATCGATTCCAACTTCTATAGAATAAAAATCGAAAATCGATAAGATTCATGACTGATTTTACACACCCATCCCTACTAAATTTGAAGTGAATTGTCAAACTAATCTGAATTATTAAGACACACTATAGTATAAACATAAAGGTTTGCTTTACTTAAATATAATGATAAGTATCTTAATGTAAATTAAAAAATAAAAGTGACAAAGGTAGTAGGGATTTTCTATCGTTTGCAAATGATACCCTAATCTTCTTCTGGTTTACTGATATTGACATAATTGAACCTTATTTAATTTAAATTAGTAAGTGCTAAAAAAGAAAAGTGATAAATGATTGAAAAAATTACATTACATTAGTTACATTCAAATTAAAAATTTAAGTTTTCTCTCATTTTCTTAAACGGAAAATCCTTATAGTTTATATTTTAAGAATTTATTATTTTAAGAATCCCTTTCTTAAAATTATTTTGAAAGGTACAAAGCGGAAGTTGGTCCTAATTAATTTACTGTGGAATTTTATTACCAAAGTAAATAATCTGTCTTCCTATATATTTTATTTATTTAAAAATTATTTAAAAGAACTGTGAATTGCATTTACGAAGTGATATATTTCGCGGAAGTGAGGTATAAATCGATATCACATTCGCAGTTAACAAGGTGAATGTCAACAGTTTGTCCGTTTCCGGGGCCTCGTTAAAAATTCACAATCCTGCATCTTTTTCGAACATTAGAAGATATGTAAACTTAATGTTTATTGAATACTTATTTACCTTGTAAATGGAGACAAATACGCTAGCAAGATTTACAAGTATTGTTAATATGGCCGTGCGTCTATATTTTAAACGAAGTCATTTGGGGAAATATCTAACAGTTGTTTATATTTTGCAATTTATTTGTGACGTGTTCCTTTTTATGTAAATAAAAAGAAAGATTTTGAATAAATCGTACAGAGATATATATTTTCACATGACTATATCTTGGTTAATTAAATTAATCCTGGGGCTATTGTTAAACAAAAATATTACAATCTATGCTTAAATAATTAAAAAACCCCTATTGGCGATTGAATATTACTCATTGCTAAGCACATAACAATACACAATTAAAATACGTTTAACGTAATCAGGACAAAGTTAGCGCAGTTTATGCTTTACGGTGTCGTGTTGGGTACTTTGAAGTATCAAGTTACGTTTTAACGAGGCCATCAGACGAGTTAAATGGTGACACAATCTGTGCGATGATAAATGTATTCGATATTTGTTTTTGATAAAAATATATTCGCTAAATACAAGTGCACTGACACGAATAATTCATTATTTACAGTACTATTATTACTGTGTTTTAACTGCAGTAGCACTTGAATTCGATCTAATTGCTCTTTAAAACATAGTTAATAACGTGTTTCAAAACGAATTAAGTGGATTATTGAGTGATAGTCACGTTTTAGGTCACTCCTACGCAAGCGTTTGTCTGGTGTCCGTATAAACTTGGATTAGCAACAATTTATCTACATAAGCCTGACAGCCTATTGATCCAAATGCTTTAATGAAAAGACGAGATATACGAGTACATTATGTTTAAACAGTGTCTTACGAAACTTTTTAATTGTCGTAATTATCGTTATCTGGTAAGACATTTCCCATGCATCCCATTTCATCGTAGCAATCTTAGGTTCGTAGCGATCGTAACCTCGTAGCAAACTACGTGGCAAACGTTACGGAGTTAGGATTTCTGCAATGATCAGTTTTTTTTTACTTTCAGAATTGTGTAAAAAGCTAAAAAGTTTTTGCCACAACTACAAATATATAAATGTACTTGTATCGATGTTTCTGCAAATATAGAGCCACTTATTAGTTTTCCCCAATCCAATTTAACATGAGTACAATGTAACAGGGGAAATTTTCTCGGCCGATTGAGACCACAACTGTATTGGAAACACGAAAACTTACTGATTACATTTCTATTCTACTAAATAGTAAACTTGTTTCTTTTTTAATAAATAATACTTCAATAAATAATGTTAACAAAACCTGCGCATTTCGCATTTAGGTAACAATTTATTAAAAAAGTTGATAAATGAAATAGAAGTAATGAAAACTATCGTTAACGCGACATCATTTTCAATAGTTCCGTGAAAGTCATAATAGTCACAAAATGACAATTAAGAATAACAAAACAATTATAAAGTGCAGATTGACCCTTTGTAGCTTTTGTTCACACTTTATGAAATTTTCCTGCCGCATAGTTTTCATAACTGTTCTAAATAGATTTTTTTAATTACCTTTATCTTTGGAATACTTAATTTAAATAACATACCACGAATTACTGAAACTTAGTGACATATTATGTGCTAACTTCTGAATAAATACAAGATGTATAAATAACTCTCAATGAACAAAATCCACAATGTAGACACAGACACATGTAAACATGTCTGAAAATACACCGGTGCATTTTAAAAGCTCCCTGTCTAGAGCTTAGTCATGTGAAAGCTCGGTTTTATAGTGATCGGAATCGTTTACGATGTATTGAAAGCAGAAATAAGAAAGCTAGAGCAGTAACAAGAATGGCACACGTACGCGAA